CATGGGGGAGGGAGAAAAAAAAAAGCATGTTTTTATTTAAAAAATAAAAGAAGCTCAACAAAACAAAGGGGAAAAAAAAATCACGAAGGACAAAGCAATCTACTTTACCAATCAACATTGTGAATGGCATATTGAATACTTTTGGCCATGTGCTAAATGGAGATTCCTTACTCAGCCTTTTGGTTTAACAATTCATTTTTTATAAACCAGGGCAAGTGGATTAGTAAGAGGCCTTAGGGAAAAAGCATTAAGATGATCATGATGTATTCATAATGATATTTATTGGTAATTAGCAAATTTAGCCTTCTCTTTCATACAAATAAAATCAGTTGCTCTCACTAAACAGCCAAACTCAGGCACTGGTAGACAATATTCATGACTCATACCTAAGTTGTACATTTAACTGGAATCTTCATTAACAATATTCTCTCTTCTTTTTCTTTGTCCAGAACATTTGTTGAGAACATCTTCTACCAGCAGGCCGGCGTCTTTGCCAAGAGTACCTGCTATGGAAAGTGCCAAATCTATTTCTGGTAATATCACGTTTTTTGGATTATTAGTAAAACCAGGAGCTCTCATTTCAACACTGTACTTACAGATACATTTTACTTTTTCAAGAGAAAACTTTGGTCTTCAGACCATCAAGCACTTGTCAAAAAACTATTTGGATGTTTGGAATAGCTTATTTTTCAGTATCCAGGTTTTCAGCTGAAACATTTAGGGAAAAAAAAAGTCTAATGCTAAAATAATATTCCATTTTATTGCATCAAGTAGAACTGAAGAGGTAATTGTTCATCTCCTTATTGTTGCACGTACAACTTGCACCAACATACCAGATGGATGAGTATGAATCATGAGTGTAAGAGTTGATTTCTATGTCATCTTTCCTTGTATTACAAATAATTTTTGTGTGCATGATATATGTGAGGAGAGAAACTGTTCCTGGCTGTTACCTTTTACAGCTCGGATGTAGGATTATTTTTTTTTAAGTGAGGGAGGCAGAGAAGCATAATCTTAATTCCACTTTTGTTTGTGGAAATAATTATTTTTAATGGTTTAAAATAGGAGAATTGTTCTTTTTAGTTAACATGCATCATTATACGTTATCTAATGCATATAAATGTTTTTGCATATTACCTAGCAAAACTTCTACCCGTTCTGTAGGACAAAAGAATGTTTGCAGTGAGTCATTTTAGTATAGTCTATTTTCTGACTGACATAACCTGCAAGTATTTTTGAGTGTTACTCATAGTGGTTGCTGCACATTTGATGTTAACTTTGGATTTTTAAGAAATACAGTTACTAAATAGAATTTTATGTAGAATGTTAGTTTACTGTCAAGCTGGTGTCTCAGTATCAGCAGGGACTTCTAAAAACAAATCTTTTTTATAGTTCAAATAGTGTGGTATTGTGAAAATGGTACTTTCTATAAACTAGGCAGAACTAATTTGAGAGACATATGTTTTAAAAAAAAAAAACTATATTTGAGTAAATGGTTTTAAGAAAGTGTGGTTTAGGTCATTTTGATTTCTCCTAAAAAAAAAAAAAAAAAAATCCACCCAAAAGTGTTTTTTCCCAACTTCTTTTGTCTAGTATTTATAAATTAGTGTAGTTGCCCCAAATCATTAGGAAGTCTCTGATATACGTGGAGAGTTATATCTTTGATTTACACAAACATAAGCAATGGCGACTCTTTAGGTATAAAAGGCAAACCTTATCCTTTTAACTGGAAACTTCCATGTAGAGAAAACATAACCATTGCAAATTTGGTTTTACAGAGTACAGTGCTTGTGCTTGCATTTGAAAGAAAAATTGTTTGTCATTTGATAAAACGGAACAAACTCTATGGAATGTGGCTGAATGGTCTCAGGTCAATCTTTGATTTGCTTGCAGATGATATTTAATTAATGTCCAGAGCATCGCGTACATGCCAATTCTTGATTAAAATTAAGTGGAAATAAATCAGCTGTCATCTTGATACTGGCTTGGTTTTCTTTTTTCTTAACTACTTGAAGCTTAGCAACATAACTACATGGACCAGAGAAAAATAAAATGGTTTGGTGTTAAAATTCTTTCTCATTCATAAAATCCTTCAAATGAGTTCTATTAAGATACATTCATCAAATTTTCTTTACTTCAAGATAAAGGTTTGATCATAAATGTTGATGGTGCAATCTAAGTCCTTGATATTTCCTAAGTGGAAAGCATCAAGAAAAATGTTGAAGCCTAGCATTGTATATGGATTTCCGTGTATGAGTTCTGAACTAATGCTTGTCAGAGAGCAAGAATGAGTTTGAAAGGTTTTATGTTGGCAAATGATAAATATATGGGCATTTTCTCACTTAGTCTCTCGAAGAAGTAGTGAGGAAATCAAACGAGATATCAGTGCACCTGATGGAGCATCTCCAGCATCCCTCATGGCAATGGGTACCACCTCACCACAGCTGTCACTCTCATCTTCTCCTACAGCATCGGTCACCCCTACAACCCGAAGTCGAATAAGGTAAAAACCCTTTTTTGTGGTGCACTGAAATGTGTCAATTCCATAGTGATCTGTCTACATATATCTAGTATATGACATTGGCACTAAGGCTGCTGACACTGCTGTCACTCATAAAACAACAATCTTTGGTAATCTTTGAGAGCTTCAGAAAGTGTTTTCTCCAGCTCAGTGTATGCTTTAAGTGTGAGAGCAGAAGTTAAGTTTTTTAGAGCTTATGAGGTTAATATCAAAACTTTATACTCTGCTAGCAAACCAAACGAAGTCATGTCACTAAATAACAGCATCATATCAGTTCAAAATACCATCTAGCCAAATTCAAGAAATGAGCTTACGGCATGTTGAACAAATCTTTTGGAGAGGCTTGGGCCCAGGGAGACTGCATAATGAACCTTAACTTTGTAAGCACAGCCGAAGACAGAAAGCAGCATGACTAGATCTTAATTCCAGACACTGCCAAGTCTTCTAAATAGCCATGAGTGAATGAGCCTGGATTATTTGTCCCACAAGTGAAATCGTAATGCAAGTCTAAATAACAAATGGCCAGGCAACCCCCTTTCGTTAGTAAGATAAAAAGATAAGTGTGCTAAATTTAAAACTTTTCCTATCTGTAGTGTTATCAGTCAAAGGACTTAAAAGTATTTAAGCCTCATGTTATGCAAGTGAAGTATGTACTTAGCCCTGCTTCATAGATTGGGAAACTGGCAGACAAAGGTTACATGACTTTCTCAAGACCATTTAACGCAGAGCTTTCTGACAAAGCTTTTGTACAGCAGAAACAGACATTTGCAATATGTAATAAAGTTATTTATAGCTGTGGGTGCTATTGAAAAATATTTTCCTAAAATCATCTGAGGCATGCCTCAGTGCTGCTTTCCTTTCACTGGGCAGAAATTAAATCGAGTTTGGATCTGTTGGTACTTTACCAGCAGCAGTTAATATTGTGTGTTAGTGCCTAAATTTAGACCGAGTACATTCAGAAATAAAAAAAAAAAAAAGACTAAAACACCTGTGTATGAACTTTGAACTGGTAACGTATAAAATTGCATTGATGGCAGCCTGCAGACTGTAGCAAATAGTGCAGCGTTTGATGGTAAAATTGTAGTTATAATTATGACATCATTACTGTGCCACCTGACCATTGACTGCAATGCCAAGTGCTAAAAGAAGACTTAGCAGTGGAATGGGCAGCAGAGGGTGCATGGTGATGAGCACGCTCTAAAGAACCGTCCTCAGAATGTCACTGCTGAGCTTCAGTTTGTTGTGTGATCAGATTTCTCTTTTTTTCTCCTACCTTTTACTGAAAGTTGTAGTATAATAAACAGATATTGCTATAGTTCACTAAAACAAATACTTGCAGTTTACTGTTCCCTGTTCTAATTGAAACTTCGTTGGCTCTTTGATTTGGAGTACAGTTGACCTAATATACTAACTTGTAAGATTTATATGTCAAACCATTTCTCATTGTCTCCATACGACTTATGCTAATTTATTTTCTTCAGCAGTGTTTTCACAACTGTGAGAACCTGATATAAACCATGTGCTCTTACTGGAATTTGAGAACAGGCTGTACAGCTCCCTCATGGCTAAACAGTATGTTTAGCGTAGAGAGGGAGCTTTTAATTTGAGTTCTTGTACGTTGTCCCAAATCTCTGTTCTAAAGTTCTCGTAGTGCTGCCTAATCTTCATTGTAGATGGAATCTGCAATCCCATTGTTATTTGCTTTAGTCACTAATGAAAAAGATACACCAGTTTAGATTATTGAAATATGTGCAGATTTAATAACTGAAGTACAGAATTTCTTGAAGCATCATTTTGGCTGTGTGGTACCTATGTAGTTTAGATACAGTAACTTATTCAGATAACTTATTTCATGTTTGAAATAACACAATTAGCAACTTCTTGTCGTGTTGAATCTGTCTGAGATTGGCAGTTAGGTTTGAAGGCTCATACTACTATCTTTCCTTTTGAAAGGCACTTCCTGTTCCCTGTTTGGTTGTTCTGCTGTGCATATATTTTCATGGATGTTTCATGGATGCCACCACTGACGTATCTTTCTACGCGATTTTGAGACCTTGCCATCTTCTTTCAGTGAGGACTGGCCAAGCAAATTGCAATACATTTACTTAAGATTAATGCCTGAGAACATTTTGTTGTATGGTGGCACATGTTCTCTTCTTTTATGCCTTGAGTGACAGTTGCTGATATGCGGAACAGTCTCTGGTGTTCCCTTGCTAACACACATGCGCGAAGAAATCCACATTTCCTGGATGCTTTCTCTTCCTCTAGCAGGACCTGGAGAATTGATACCTGTAAATCTACAGTACAGAATCCACTGAAAATACTATGTATTTCCACCCTTCTCCCTTTTTTGCAATCACCAAATGGGCTGTAAAGAACAAATTGTTAAAGAGTGAATGTATGCCATCTATATGCCTTTTTGGAAATATCCAAAAGGAGTAACTTAGGGAATCATCTTCGTGGATGTTACAAGAATCTTGCTTACATCTGCATAGACGACTTGAAAAAGATGGCAGATGAGGAAATCTTTGCAGTACGGATTCACTGATAGCTGTCTTATTTTTATTTTCCAAATGGAAATTATTAAAAATAAGAACAACTGCTGGCACACTTTACATCCAGTAACTGAGCTCCATAATGGTGTAATACCTGGTCTTTTCGTCAGAGTGTTCACTAGAGTGTCTACAGAACTACTGATTCGTGTAACTAGGCCACTACAAAAGTATTAACCTCTATAATACGTATTTTTTAATCTAAGCACTCATTTCTGAAGCCTGGTAAAGCGATGTCTGTTGTGTAAGACTCGTGAAAAACTGGCCAACCTGAATATGATCATTCTTTTCTTCCCTAATCTTTCCTTAGAGAAAAAATGACTGAAGATAGCTTGACAGATTGGAAGTGAAATTGATTGATAGCTTTTATTGCTAATTGAACATTCTTGTTTCAAAAAAAGTGAATCATTATTGTGCCAGTGTATCAAACGGCAGATCAAAATAATTAGATCTCTCCTCTCTTTTTTAAGAACTCCAGAAATCAGGCAAATGTTCTGTTAATAACAGCATGCTGCTAATATGCAAACGTGTTGTTTCAAGGTGACATTTGTAATCAGCCATGAGATGCAAAAGAGATAGCATCAGTTTATTCTTTTTTCTAAATACAAAATAAAGTCACTTGAGTTAGCTTAATGGTTTGAGCTGAAACTTACCATGTAGTAATTTTAGTTTTCTGGACTCTTAGAAAAAATATCATTGAGGTTGAAAGACCTAGGGAAAAAAAGCTTACTTTTTTAATGGAAAAAAAGAAGGTTGATTTGTTAATGAATGAATGACTTCAAAATAACTCTTAAGTCTCTTCAGGTATTTCTGTGTATTCTATTTTTCAGTCAGTAGAGCTGTACTCTACTACTTTCACTGTGACAATAATTTGTTCTTTTTTTTAAGCTTTTACAATATGTATTTCTGTTGCAAAAGATACATTACAAGCTCTAAGTTTCACTTTGCTTTATTCCTAGGGAAGAGAGGAAAGATCCCTTGTCTGCCCTAGCAAGAGAATATGGAGGATCCAAGAGAAATGCCTTGCTGAAGTGGTGCCAGAAGAAAACAGAAGGGTATCAGGTAACCGTCGAGCTGTTTAACGTAGCTGCAACACATTAGAATCTGCCAATGGCATAAACCAGGCTGCTTCCACAGTTGACTGCATAGATTGCAATGGCACTGGTATGTACTGTACTCTCTTCTTGGAACACATGCTACGAGTCCTAACCTGACACTAATAGCTCTGTAGTCGCTGTGCTCCACGTCCGTAATAGCTTTTTTCTTAAGGGGGCAGCTGACCTCCTGTCGAGGCACTTCAACACAGCCTTTTACAGGTCGCACTTTTCAAACAGTAACTGAAACTTCAGCAGCTTAAGGTTTAAATGAATGTTTCCAAGTGCAGTTGGAGTTCTGTTTCCCAAACTTCAGAGATATGCTTTTGGTAGGTAATTAGCGTAGGGGTTTTTTGGATCTTTCAGTCTCCCATTTTAGTCTCTATTTAGGGACAGTTTGTTTTGTGAAGGTCGCATTGTCTTGCGTTTTGAACTTGGCTTTCTACTGCAGTTCCAGACTTTTTTTTTTCAGTTAGTCCAAATGTTATCAGAAGCCAAAAGAACTAACAAGATAACTATCCAGAGTTCTCCTGATTACATTATTTTTTCAAAAGAATAGTGGCTTCGGCAAACTAAACCAGGATGTTAATAGTCTGACCGTGATGTATTTGTTTGGTTAACTTGTATTGAAAGTGTTTGGAGTTCCCAACACAATCCTCAGTTTAAGAACTTTACTCTTTCCATGACTTGAGACTCACAATGCAGGAGGAAGTTGAGAGCCGCATAACAGGATGATCACCCATCCATAGGAAAAGTCGTCTTTCAATACAATGGCCAGGCTTGTGATATAAGCCCTCCCCCCTCTTCCTGTGGCACGTCTAGTACTAAACTGTGCTATTTCTGAGGATAAGCTGTTTTGTGGAAAGAGCCTTTCTCCTTCCCCACATTTTAAAAAAGGCAGGATGTTATATTTCTTTATAAATCCTCTAAAACTGAATGTAAAAATATTTTCCCATATTGTCTAGAAATGAAAGATGAATTTGACAGCTTCCTTATCTCATTAGGAAAAGTAACAGAAAGTATTCCAAACTTTTCATTCGATAGTTGTGTGCTCATGCAAGAGCATAATTTTGTTTACATAGATTGCTGGTTACACTTACTTGAGTTTTATAACAACTAGTAGAAGAAGGTTTTGAGGCTTAACTGTACTTGCTTCAACAACTGTAAATAAGGTTCTCCACTTGTGTTGCTACTGAGGAACCATAGCATATAGCATCTATAGAACCATTGCATACCTGCTTTTGAAAGAGTAGGATAGTATCAGGAGGTTATATTAAGACATTCTTCTCCAAAAACTAACTTTTGCTTTACTCACACTCATTTTTCATTTCTTTGTTGTACAGAATTTGATTATTTTCTACATCCCTTGAAATTCAATTCTGGTTCATCACCTCCAGCTCCTCTTTGTGTCTTCTACTCTGTCACAATGCCCTTTTATCCACAGCATTTCCCATCGTTATAACTTCTACTTTTCTTCTATACCACTGATTGCTTTTATTTGGCTTAGCATGTGGGCAAGAGTCAGCACATGGTTTTTGGAGCTACCTGCACACTGACTGACCAGCCATCTTCTGTCTCTGAGCTGCTGCGTGAGCCACGCAGAACAAAGGAGTCCTAAATATCCCAGCCTTTTTCTCTGTAGTCATAGCCCTAGGTCTACTTTCTATCTAGTCACCAATGTCTGTCCTGTTACAAATTTAAATCAATGTTAGCTATTATTTGTTTAGTTACAAATATAACAGGTTAAAGGAAAAATACTTGCAAATTGAGTCTGTAACAAGTTCTAAAATGACCTGGAGGGATTTAACTATGATTTGGAAACAAGGAAAAGAAAAAGGAAGGCTTAGAAGGTCTTTGTTTCAGAATAATTCTTTTGTTAATTTTATCCTATTCATATTATATCAATTTGTTTCTAATGCAAATCTAATTGAACTATCAATATTTAAGTAAAACTCAGCCCTGTAAGCCAGTATTTTTCAAGTACGTCTTCACCAACATGAAAAGATGTGTTTACTTCTTCATTAGTTGCCAATAACAATCACTTTTTTGCTCGTTTTCTCCCTCTCACCTGGATGTGATGTGTCACAGCTGTTGGTTTTTATGCATAGATAAATATTTGTAGAAAATCATATGTAAAATATTTGTAGAAAATTATTTCAGCTGTTGGTGTTTCATAGAGAAGATGGAACCATGCACATTGAGTTAAAGCCTATGTCATTCTATGATTCTAACACAGCCATGTTTGCTCCTGGTGTTGCTTTACTTTTCATTTCTGGGATTATATTTTGCACTAGATGTTGGAGAATAGTTGACTTCCTGGTTTATACATGATCTAATAAATAGTGATCACACAAATAGCCAGATACAAATCTTAATTTCAAAAATTTTGTTTAAAGCGTACAGACTTGTAGGTGAGCTGCCAATGGCTTAAAATGTTAAAACGAGGTATGATGCAGTTGGCTTACCCTTATTAATAGCAGCAGCACAGGATTCAACATTATTGTCTTTGGAGGCCAGCAGTAGTTCTTGAGCTGCTTTTTATTCCATGTTCTGGAAATACTAAGGAAGAAAAAACCCCAACACCAAGGTCTATACTGTTTCAGAGAGAGAAGATTTCCTTTATTCACATGGTACTTGTGGAGAATACAGAACGACTTAATTGCTTGCTACAACTTGTATTTTTTTTGTCTGCTCAAATAAAATGGAAGAAGAATAATGTCTGCTCTCCTGTCCCCTCTAGGAAATTACTTTCAAGCTTTTGATTATGAAAGTCTTAAGTATCTCTGTTTTAGAAGCCTGAAATTTCGTGAATGCTAAATAATTCAAAGATGCTAGTGTGGTGAAGCTCTAATTTCAGCCCATTATAGCGAAAGGATTTTATTTAAAGCCCTTAATACATTCACAGACATTTACGCCAAATTGCACTTTCCACCTCTGACAAATGCATAGTTCCAAATAGCAGAATTTTTAAAGGAATCTTAAGACTTTCTCTTTTATGAATGTGTTACGATAAAGTAATACCTAACTGTTAAAAAACTATGATAAATCACGTCATTGTACAGTTTTCTTGATTTATTCAAGCAAATTTAGAAGGGAATAAATGAATAGATTTCTTGAAACACAGTCATGAAACATTATTTAACTGTGTTTCAAATCTGATATTTTTTAAAGAGTACCTCAATAAAAAAAATAAGTTTAAATTAGCAAATGAAAATAAGAGAAATTCTTACTGATGTAAAAAACTATAGCTTTTTCCCTTACTATATTGTTATTTTTAATAGATGTGCTGTCTGAATGTTGTTTGCAAGCAGAATTTCTCCTTGAAGCTTAGGTTTGGAGAATGACTGTCTGCAGAAGGTCATTGTGGAACTAACAACAGGGCAGGTTCTGTATTAACTTTCATCTAGAGCCTGTTCAGCCTAGACAGTATTGCACTCACTAAGTTACTGAGTTTAATTATGTGCAGGGCTGAACAGATCCCTAAGCCATGAAAGAGGAGAGTTGTTCTTTTAAGATAAGCGGGTTTTTTTAAGCTTCTAGATAAAGGAGGAGCAAATCACCTTCAGTTTTCAGATGAGCAGGCCAAAATACTTGAAATTTGATCCTGTGTTAACTTTACTCAAGATCTGACATACAGATTCAGAGCACAGCGCCAAATGCTGCATTTTCCAGAGAGAAAATCCTCCTGGCTCCTCTAAAATATGTGCAGTGTCATAAAACTGTCATAAATTCCAGATATCTTCAAAGCATCAAGTAATCCCATCCAGCTGTTACGGAGCATTTACCCGGGCTGGAACACGATGACTTAAATTTTGAATACACAATTAATTAAAGTCCAAAAAAGGATGTGAGCATGCATGTTTCATATTAAGAAGGGGACCAATAAACAGGATACACACATCCTTACCCATTCTTATCTACAGTAATATTTCAATTTAGTTTCCATTTTTTGTCAGCATGCTGAGAGATTATTCACTTCCAGAAGTCTGACACTAAAAAAGCAATTGTCGCAAGAGAGCAGCAAGAATAGACTTAAATTTTTTTTAACCTAATTACAGATAAACTGGAAGACCTTCTTAATATAGCCTTGTAGTACCTGTCCTTTAAGTCATGCAATGCTACTTTTTTCTGCAAAGACCACCTGATTTTTTACCTGCTATACAGATCAAAGCTATGTTTAATACTTACCTACATGGCAGCAATAAACAATAAAATTGACTAGTGATTGAGTATTATGTGTACCTAATGCTATGCTGAATGCACCTTGAAATCAAGAAATGCTTTCATTTGTACTCAAATAATCAGTACAGAATAGCAAAGCTAAAGGTAAAAGATGGCCTGGGTTGCTTTTTTTAAAACCTGTTCTTATATACACGTGTCTTTATCAACACTAAGCTAGATGGCATTCTACTCAAAGTATTATATTGATTTTTTTAAAAAGCACAAAAAGAGGACAAGACTGTGCTCATGTAAGCCTATGTTCAAACAATGATTCCAGGGGGTGCATGCTTTCCCTGGTGCGGTCTGGTTGATTCAGCAAAGTAGTCAGGCTGCCAAAGCACTTCTCTCCTTGGTTTATGCTGTGATGCTTTAGCCAAAAATTGTTGAGTTGAGGAAGGACATGCTTCCTTTTTCTGTTTGGATTGGATTCTGATACAAGAGAAATGTCAACTTGTTAGATTTAATTATGACAAAATGTAGAATAAATTATGAAGCTGTCTGTATCTTTAAGTGCTTCAAACGTTAATGTCTGAAGCTATTATTGTTTGTTTTTTTTGAGAATGACTGCTCCTTTTATGGTTCTTTTTTGTGCCAAAACTGAAAAATAACATGATCTTAGTATGGAAAGAAATATTGACAGTCAATATATAAGGATTTTCATGGTTTATATTTGCCATTTACTGTTGTTTCAGAAGCTGGGATTGAAGTCACAGTAGTTGGGACTGCTGTTAAGTCTATTCCAGAAAT